TATATATATATATATATATATATAAATAAATATAAACAACATGTTCTTTCGTTGTCTAAGGTTTGATAAACTGCAAATTGGGAAATAAAAAAGCTATCATCTTAAATGTTCTGTCGCTGAAAGTGGAGATGGGTTCAAGTGGTCTAATAACATTCACTTAAATATTGTATTTTCATAAAGAAAAGGAAGGTTTTGTTGTACAGAATTGAGCCATTTGAATATTCTGGGTCTTGATCCTTTTCTGATAATACTATGAAATGTTCCTTTCCTTTGACTGCACTTTGCTCAGCAGGTAAAACTCAGCGGGTGTGAATAGCTGCTGCTCATTATTCTGCTGCAGATTTTCTTTATAGATGGAATGATGGGTCACATCATAGAAATATCAAAGAGCAGCAGCTGATTGGTTGCTGATTGGTCAGTGATCAGAGGTCACGGTGAGCTCACTTCACCTCACATGACGTTCATTCAAAGATCCAGGAAGACCTGAAAGAACTTCTTCAACATCAATAACAAATAAGAAGGTGATTCCGACTGAACGGGAAGAACATAAAGTTTCTGAACTGATAGAAGAGAGAGAGACAGCTTAACATAATGTTTGATCTTTCACAGGAGCAACGACGTCAACTCTCAGGTTTCGCCTCAAAATCAAAGGAATAACAGACTAAAGCTGAGCTTTATCCATACTTTGTTGCCCCCTTTAGTCTGCAAAGGATCACTGCAGATAAATGTGAAGCGATATAAAAGTATAATTTAATGAGCCACCAGGACCATCAGCTCGAAATAAATGTTTTAATAAAGATTCAGGATACATTTTTAAATCCTTGTAGTTTTAATTTTGAGATTTTTCTTTTTTCTTGCATAAAATCTAAACAAATTTCAACGTTCTTACCCTGGGCGATCAACTTTTAAACCTTTGCAATAGCTTTTTATATTATTTTTGGCTTTAGAGTCCTATCGACCTTTACATAAATCTCTGATTATGTATTACAATTTGTTTTTCCCCCCCTTTTTTACTCTTTTTAAAATGTTGCTGCTATTATGCAATAGCTTACAGTTTATGTCTGTGATCCTCCAAATCATTTTATAAAATTAGTTTATAGAAGATGAATGTTTATAAATGTTCACACATGTTGCGAATTTCGGCTTTAAAAATTACTTTAACAGAATCACTGATAAAAAAAAAAATTAACCGTTTTTGGCATTTACTTAATTACATTTAGTTACTTTGACACAGTTGTTTTATGTCCTACTCTGCTAACATAAAACAATTGTGTTAAAGTAACTAAATATGATTAAGTAAATATCAAAGAACGGTTGCATATTTTTTTTCAGTGAGAAATGATCCTGATGCTTCTAACCTCGGAGTTTCTGTTGTAAAACTTTGAATAAAGATAGAATAGAATTATAGAAATAAATATCAAATAAAGAGCAAATAATAGTTATATTAAATATTTAAATTAAACCCACTCAAGTTTTAGAATAAAAGAAGCTGTGAATATCAGATTAAATGTTAAAGAATCAGTAACAGAGCCATCCGAAGATCTGAAGACATCAAATGATTCTGAGGTCTAATCATCCTCTGATGTCTGACTGAGCATCAAACAGACCCATTAACACCTTCAGGAGCCTCCAAGGTTCTGCTGGATGCTGCTCTGATTAAAACCGGACCAGCAGAACCCACAACTCATCCAAAGTGACCAGAACATGGACGGAAGCAGAGTGTCGGACTTTAGCATCGAACGCATCCTTTCTCCACATCTGGGCCGAAAACTGCTGGACCCAACACAGGACGGATACATGCGTTTGGTACCGGGCGGGTTCAGGCTGGAATCAACCAGCTCATGGGTCCCTGCGCCGGTTCCTGTGCCGTTCCGGGTGCCGGGCTGTCTGCAGTACCGGGGAATGTGCTTCGGCGAAGGGTTCTGTTCGTGCACCGCCAGGTTCCACCACGCAGAGATCAGGTTCTGCACACATTTCGGTCCAAACCCTTCAGGTAGGTCAGAACCTTCACCTAGTCTATTATTTCTATATCACCTCTGTAAATAATCAAACTTTTAGAAATGTATTTATTTTTATATTTATCTTTGTTTTGACCCAAGAAAGTTTTAAAACATCACAAAGCGGGGGTCCGATCCAGTGCAGAGCGAAGGCCCGGATGAGGACGGTGTTCACAGACTGTCAGACCAAACAGCTGGAGGCGCTGTTCGAGCTCACTGACTACCCAGGGATGGAATTACGGGCCGAGCTGGCCCAGAACACCGGGCTGAGCGAGGAGACGGTTCGGGTGAGTGTCCAATGGTTCCGAGTTATTATTTAAATACTACTAGAGCCAGGATAAGATCAAGGTTTGTTTCCTTTGTAGCAAAAGTTTCTGTAGCAAATATTGCAAGGTTCTTTTGACTCTGAAGAACTACATGGTGATGGATTCCTCAGTTTCTGGCTTTGTTCTCCTTTTTTGTTTCCTCTGCTTGTTGAATTTTATATTTCTCCATCAATGGGCCCAGTTTGGATCTACTTAGGCTCTTCTCAAACTGGAACGAAAAGCGGTTAAAGATCTACTAAAGCTCTAGAAAGGCTGGAGATCACAAGAGCACTGAGATCTAGATGTGTTTTTTAGGGTTAACAATGCTGGTTAAACATTGGGTTTAGATTGGACTTTTGGGATCAAAAGATGTTCTCCAGAAGATCTCACACTTAGTTTTTTTTTTTTTCCAGGTTTGGTTCAAGAACCGCCGGGCCCGGAGAAAGAGGCATCACAGTGGGCCAAAGGTCAAATTACCGTCACCATGCAAGAAAAAGAACTCTGAGACAGAGGGTGGATCAACCTGCTGCTGCTCAGTGGCACGTCAGCAGGACAGGTTCAAAGTCTGGGATTCTTCAGCATGAAGTGGTGCTAGAAGTTCTGGATATTAGAGGAAAGTTTTCTACTTGAATTGGAATAATTTATTATTGAACACAAACTTTGGGCTTTTATGATTTTCCCTGCAAATAAATTTACTTATTCAGAGGTAAGAATTCTCCTGTGATTAATCTGCCATCCATCCGTCCATCCAGAGGTGGATTAAATAAAGGGATCATATTTGAAAGATTGCATTTTTTTGGGGGCCCTCAATGTTATTTATAAATTGATATCTGAATCTTAGCAGTTTCTAAAAAAAGTCAAATCACATTTTACATTGCATTTTTTTGTCAAAATAATTGGTCATATATTAAACTCAAATATTTTAGTATCACCGTATTTATATGTTGCTACAAGGCTCTATTAGATGTATATATTTATCCTCATCTTATTCATTGTGAATCTCATTGTTAAGGCAGTAGTATCAGTAAATCACCATTAAGTGTTAGCTTGCAATGTAAACACATCGTATAGATAATGTTGTAAGCTATCGCATTTTACAGAATATCTTCCTTAAATGTTTTTGATCAGATTGAATAGTCTAATAAGTAGCCAAATGCAAAAATAACTAAATTTGCAGTGAAAGAAACTGTGCTGTAGCGATATTTTCATGGACAAGCATCACTTCTCTTCAATCTTAGGATATTCAACACTCAGAAGCTCATCTCGCCTGGTCTGGACTGCTTAGCAGTTTTCTCCACAGATCTGGATGGTTCTCTGGACACTGTACTGTGTAAACAATCAATAAATCACTTGATCATTATATTTGAATCAAGTCAGATTTGTTCACATTTATTTAATGACCTGAACCGACAGTGACGGAAAACTGAAATGTGTAAAACTACAAACTGACTGCCCGACTTAATCCTGATTCCTGACCCGGTCCTACACTCCCTTCGACTGAAATGATTGCCGTTAATGTGACGTAAAGAAACGTTAGGTTTTAGCGTATTCATATTGATATATTAACACTAGAATACATTTTTGATCACACACACACACATATATATATTTTTTATTTTATTGTTTTTGTCGCCCTGTCTGCTCTCAATAGCACTCTCTTTAAATTTATGAAATGACCCACTGCTTAATAGGTTACAGAAACTCAACTTATAATACTTTAACAAATACAACCTGTAGCCTTTTAACTAAAGACGAGATTTAAATTTAAAGCAGATGCATGTATATTTTATAAAACGACAGGGGATAACAGCTGATAATCTATTTTCAAATTTTGCAGTCTCACTTGGTCCAAAATATAAATTGCCCATATACTCACCAATGACCATCTAAAACTTTATATTTCAGATTCATTTCTTCAGATATTTATTTTTTGCTGTTATTTGGAAGGAATCAAACTTACATGTAAACTGTACTTTTCTTAACTCAGTAAAAAAAAAAAAAAAAAAAAAAAAATCTAAACAAAAAAGGAATAAATTCTGGTTCCTACATGTGTTTTCAGACTTTATTATTGAAATATTTAATATTTTGCTCAAGTGCTGCTGTTAAAGTCAATAAAAAAAAAATTTGAATTTTTTATTGACAAATTAGCTTAATCTCATAAACTGCGGAGAGCTCAGGGCATTTGGCAGAAGACCCTGATGGTTTAAATTTAGGAGTGATGGCACTGCACACCTTATACCCTTTTTTCCCCCAGAACATTATGATTCAAAATTGTCTATAAACATTTAAATAAAGACAAATAGACATAAAAATACAAAAACATCAAATTCTTTATTATATTGATAGCTAATATCTGAAGCATTTTCATGCTGGGCAGATAAAGACTGATAATGCAACACTCAGAGAATACTGAGGGAGGAGGTTACATATGGAGAGCATGCAGTGAGTGTATCTGAGAGGAATCATCTTCCTTCTCCTGCTTCAGCATCAGGATCCAACATGTTTTTACCAAGCAGGACCAACCTACTCACACAGGTTATAAGGGCCCTTGTCATACCTTGCAGATTTAGCCAGCATATGCCTGATGTCTTCTAAAATGCTGGCGTATGGTGAACTTTCTATGTATTTTTTCAATGTTGGGAGTATACACAGAGTATTCATAACAAGTCCAGAGCTTATGTCCTACAACAGCCTAACTTATGCTTAACGAACGGCAGTGTAATGCCCAAGAAATGATGCACAAGCCGGCGTTCTGAGGGGGTCAGCGATGCACCCGGAGGTGCTCGACCTGCATAAAAAGAATTCTTTGATCACGTTATTAACCCATCTGCTGTTTACTGCTCAACAACCAAAAAAAAAGAACTAATAAATAAGAAAAAAGAATCATGTCTGCTAGGAAGTTTGTTGATGGTGGCCGTGAACGGATCCATCAAACTCACCTTCTCGCTCACCCTATGATGGGATGTGGTCTGGAGAACTAACGGTCTACCCGTGTGAACCCCCTCAAACCAAAACACTGCCAATACTCTATCATACAGTAGCTGAAAGTTAGAAACACGTTCAGTGGTTGTCAGGAACACGTCAGATACATTGATATGTGACTTATGGGTAACTTACACTTTATGTATGTCAACGATGAGGTAACTTACCTGTAACTTATGACCCACATATGAGCATATACTGGCATATTTTGGGAAAGGTTGAGCATGCTCAAAATATCTCAACGTACTCGTTGTGACATGTTCTACCTTGCTTTAATGCGCTCATAACAAAACAAAACATACCCATAACTTAGCCAACATATGCCAACTTTTTTGCCAGATTTCTCGTATGTGAGGAATATGCTGGTCTAAATTGTCAAGGTTTGACAGGGGCATAACCGAGCACACAATTAATAAAACACGAAAACAAAAAGATACACTTAGTGAAGTTATCAAAATATAGGCTATAAACCATAGATCATTAAGACTTGTTCATGATGAAACAACCAGTACTTAGTTGGTTCTTAAGTACAACACACGTTTCCAGGACAGAACCAGAGATTCTGATCGTTCTAGTCCAGTAATCACAGAACTTGACGACTTTACCTTCATACTGGCTTTGTTTTAAATGGATTCTAAAAATTTTAGTGTGTTCACTAGGTAATTCTACTTAAGAAAAAATGTAAACGAACACAAACATTTTAAATGAGATATCTGTACCGTAAAATTCCGTTGGTACTAAACTGAACCAATCTGAACCAAAGGCAAGGCCTGGAAAAAGCAGCAAATAATATTTGTCATAAGACAGTAAAACAAAACAAAAACTCCTAGATAATCATGCAAAGAGTTTAGGTTAAGTTGAGGTTATACGGACACCTGGTGGCCAAACCACGAAACACTACACGTTGACAAAATTGAAAGTGAAGTGGCTTCACTGGGACACGTTGACCGTACTGTAACTTTATGTTTACTGTACAAAGACTAACTTCCACCATCACTGTGGCCCACAAAAGGTAATGCTTTGCTGAGATAAAAGAATTAGCAGATCCTGAATCTGTGGAACATTAGCTTTTTATACAGTAACTAACAAAAGCTGCACTGTGGCGAAACATCTTGTTGGGTGAAGTATGAAGAGGGAAAATGCTTTGTGTGGATTAACTCCTGGGTTCTCAAGCTTGAGGGTAGATCAAAAGAATCAAAAAGAGTAGGAAGGTAAAGCAATGAGTCTTCTGCATACTGTTAGATTTGATACAGTCTGTTGACAAAATATCTTTTGACAGGGTTCTTTTTTTGGCAGAAAGGTCACTACATTTTAGTTTTAATCATGCAGCAAAAAACTTCTGGTGGAATTACTGTTTAATTTGATTAGTTGCAAATGCAAAAAAAAGCAGCTGCTCTGCAGGAAAGGGAAGGTGTTTGTAACTATAAACCCAAAGCTTAATGATCACCCAAAGTGGGTCTAATAGCCAATTTTCATTCACCCCTAAAGTGTGAGAGTTTTAGAGATCTCTGTTGTGAATATGATAAGGAATCCTCAAGATAAAAATCAGTGATTTTTTTAAAGCTGATACACAAAAAGAAACATTATTTACAACAGCAACCATAATGCTTTCTTTAAATAAGGCTAAGAGACTCAAAAGATCCGTCAATATTGTTGGCACATTACTGAGAAAAAATTTAAATAAGATTGGGCTATTTAAATACTTTCTTGGAAGTGATCATATATTAGCATCTTGATATTAACAGAATTGAAGTTTCAATTCAACCAGACAAAAACAAAGAGTTTCATGGGTAATATGCAATAAATATTGGCTGATTTCTTGAAATATTTTGTAAATTTCATGAAAGGAATCTGATTTTAGAGACCTGTGAGTTATGATCTGAATATTTGAGCCTAAATAAGCAAACGTTTTTAATTTTTTTTATAAAGAGGGGTCCATTTCAAAACGCAGGTTTACTGAAAACTCTAAGTTTTCTAAAGATGATATCAGGGAAGCTCTGAGTATTCTGTTTCACAAATAGAGTTTCCTCAACCTCTGTTTCTTTTACCAAAATAACATTCTCCCCAAAGCTAACCTGGTCGATACCGGTTTTTGTGTGAGTGTCCTTTGTCTCCACTCTCTTTACAGCCAACAGACTTCCTGTCTGACATGGGGCAGCATGTGAAGCTGGGAAAACATATCTCCGACACGCAGCTCATCAGCATTGGTTCCCCCAGGGCTGTACTCTTTCTCCTTTGCTCTTCTCCCTGTACAGCAACTCCCTCACCAAGAAAGCCCAGCAGATGATGTACTTCCTGCAGCAGCTAAAAAAAATTCAACCTGCTGAGGACAATGATGGTTCAGTTCTATTTCTCCATCATTGAGTCCATCCTCACTTCCTCCATCACCATCTGGTACGCTGGTGCCACCACCAAGGACAAGAGCAGATTGTCTGGTCTGCTGAGAAGACTATTGGCTGCAGTCTTCCATCTCTCCATGATCTATACACCTCCAGGACTCTGAGCTGTTCATGGAAGGTTGTGGTTGATCCCCACACTCCAGCCACATATTATTTCAGTCACTTCCCTCTGGCAGGAGGCTGCGGCCCAACAGGACCAAAACCTAATGCCACAAGAACAGTTTCTTCTCATCTGCTACCAGCACTATCAACAAGGCCCAGAAACCCCCGTGACACTGCCTCTCTACCTTCCTGTTCAGGACCTAGAAGATACACCAATGAAGCATCTCCACACCTTCTGCGTTACATTAATGCACAGCCACTGTGTATATTGTACATATCTATATACTATATTTCATGTAATATATTGTACATTTATATTGTATATAACTATGGATCCTGTATTCCATATATATATCTAAAATGTCTGCACCATCAACACCAAGTCAAATTCTTTGTTACTGCAAACCTACTCAGCAATAAACTTGATTCTGATTCCGAACAGGTTCTATATATTATATAATGTTTTTATTCTTCATCTTCTCCTGCTGCCAGGTGATTTCACCTAAACAGATACACCAATCTACCATTCAAGCAATAAACTAGTTTTTTTCCGTCATGTGATTACAACAGCCTATGGAAGTTCATTTTATTGTGTATTAGTTTGACTGAATATGTAAAAGCATTTTTTCCTTGTTACTATTTCATACAAAATGACATTGTTCACATCTAGAATAACCATTCTTGATGTCTCGAAATGATTTTCAGTTCTCCTTATTCCTATCATTACTGGTCATTATTGGTATTATTTTTACTATATAGAAATGTCATGACATTTCATATATCATATATACATATTCAGTCAAGCTGATTAATGTCAAAAAGGCTACTTAAAATGTGTTAACATATTTATACCTAGAAAATTTAATTCCTAGTTGTTGGTTTTTTGCTTCCCGAAATTCAGTTTTTGCTGCAATCATGTAATTTAACAAATTTTTTTATTATAGGTCCGACTAGGGGTTTGATTTACTACTTACTTTTGAAATCTAAAAATGGAACAATAAAGAAAAGAGTGCTTTTAATATATGTTAAAAAAGCCTGCTCAAAAAAACAAAAACAAAAGAACAGTCTGTCACACCTTTATATAAACCGAACCATGAACTTGAGCAGAAATCTTATTTTAAGCCATTTTCCTCTCCCTTGTAGCTGCAGTGCTGTCGCTTGGTCTTTTGAACACTATGCAAATAGTTTTTTCATTACCTCATTAAAATCTCTAGTTCCAGTGGTGTGTAATAGGAACTTCCTCTTGCTTGTCATGGTGACTCGTTGCATCAGGGCTCCACTGATAATGGCTTTTCATATCCATGTGTTCAACTCTGAGTGGACGTACTCAGGGTTGATTGAGTTTCAGATTTTAGGCCGGATCAAGTTGAGGATTTAAATCTGAGTTTTTTTAGACCTGCTTTGTGAAACTGACCCCTGGTCTTCAAATTTATAAATGAACATGAATGTAAGTCATAAAGGATACCAACTTTCCGTGTTGATAAAGCATAATTTCCGTACTTTTCATCTCAGCCATTAGAGCAGGTTTGTTTAGAGTTTATATTTTTAAATTGTATATCAAGGGAACAATCTCCACACAAAGCTGCCATTACAAATTTCATTTCTAGAATAGGATTTCAACATTTAGGACAAAAGGTTAATAGTTCCTATTTTAAATAGCTGCAGATGTTCTGATATTCCAAACTAGAAGCAGGAAAAAAATTAGAAGAATCAAGGAGGGACGAGAGAAGGAGAGGAGAAAAAACGAAAATCATGTATCATTGGAAAATCAGCGAACCATTTTAGATTAATGGAGACTTTTTGAGACAAAAGCTTTCTTTTCTAATAGTATAATTCATTTTCATATCTTTAGCAGCTATTATTTTGGGTTATTAAACAACACCCTCTAAGATCAAGATAACAAGATGGTTTCTATTCCTATCTGAAAACATTATTATTCATTATTATTAATTACTTTTCACATAGATTAAACCAAACCAAACTTGATCTTTAAAAAGAAAAAAGTTTTAGCTAAATTTCCAGCAGAAATATTTTTATCATATCCTGTGAAAAAAGCATCAGCTAAAAGCTACGACTCACATATGAAGATAAAAAGGAGATGTAGAGATGAATAACCCTGTTTCCTGATCAGAGGACTTTAGATTGATGTTAAATAACAAATGATGTACACATAATGTTTATATGTCAGCAAAGCTAAAGGTCCTGGTCTCACGACAGGGAGTCAACAGCCAGATGTGGATCCAACAAACAACATCAACATTTTCTAGAGTGTTTCTCATGAAAATTTCATACTTGTCATCTTCTGCTTCATGGAAGACAATTAGTTTGACATTTTCATGAGAGAAACCCAAAATAGTGACTATTATATCTTTCTGGACTTTTCAAACCACTCAGACCTGAAACTGGCTGCAGTGCAACAAAACCATGAGGCAAGGGTGAAAGCAAATACACTGACCACCCTAGACCAAGAGGAGGCAGCCGAGTGAGAGGACGGATTTCAGAGCTATTAAGTTAATTGAAGGAATGCAGGACATTTGTTATCAGATACAAGGCACTATAGATTTTGCTATAGAAGGGCTAAATTAGGCGGATTCAGGCGGAGGGACTTTCACCACAAGGAGATTGGGGAAAGAATGATGGAGAGTAAGAAAAGCCGACAGATCCATCCAGTGGTGGAGAACTGTAGGAAGTGCGGGGCCTGGTTAGGACTGCATCTCAGCGCGAAGCATCCATGGAAACCAGCAGCAGAACAACAACCTAAAGCAGGTGCAGAGAAGAGATGTTTTAGTAAATCCATCCTCTTAGAACTGGTTCCATCTTTAATGTTGCTAAATATCTGTTCTACATATATTAAAAAGCTGTGTTGTTGTAGACCTAGAAATAAAGAACTGTGATTTTATTTAAGATCTCAGTGTTGGTGTGTAAAGTAGGTATCTTTAGGCCTGGAATGTCTTGACTGGGTAAAACCACAGCAATTCTGAACAAATTCTTACCAGGGCTGGGACTTCTACGCATGAATTCTGTTTAAATAATTGTATAGACCTACATGAGTTTAAAAAGTTAACACGATTAATAGCATTTTATTTACTTAAATCTTGAGCATTAACTTTTGTATTCTCTGCTCCTTGCATACCTGTACATCTGAAACACAAGCAGTATCATAAGTGTTGGTCCATTGGGTGAATTCAAGATTAAAAAGCCTGTCAGTCAGAAGTTCTACTGTGAATTCCTGGGTGACTGGCAGTCACAACAGTCATTCTGAACTCATCACCGAGGGGGGTCCCAGCAGACCAAATGTAGCTACCCACTAATTATCTAAAGATGTAGCACTCAGATGGGCTATGTCCCATACATGAATTTGTTTACATTAAAACCTCAACCTGTATGGAGTAGATGGAATTATATCTACTTTTTTAAGTGCCACTGTCAGCCAGAAATACATGACACACAATACATGCTTTGGAGGCACAGATGATAGCAATGCTAATGTTAGTGTCCGCAGCAGCAGGCAGCCCACATCAGACCATATGACAAGCTTCAGAGCCAAAGTAATCATTAAGGCTTAAAAATCAGAGCAGAGTTTCAGCAACTGTTGTCAAACAGAGACAACGCAATATGACGCTCTCCGGTGTTTGAACTTGGACATGTGCATTTATGAACTCCTAATTCAAAGAATGTACTTACTAAGGCAATTCTTATTTTTGCTGAATAAAAACCAAACAAGTTACACATTGTCCCTTAAGGGGCAGTATGCTTTGATGGTATATATTTGTTTTTTACCACATGCAGTGATAGGGATTGTGCTATAATTAATGTTCATGTACTGTTCAAACTTATGTTTCAAAGATGTCACAAAAGGTTTTCTAAAAAAGCTAAATGACCAAAACATTCAATCAGTCTAGTGGACTAATTATCTAGATGATAGATTACAAACAGTAAATGTATTAGAAGCAAAAACGTTTTTTGGAGTGAAAAGGTTGCTAGACAAGAGTGTTTGATTAAAATGTGATTTATTGTAATTCATTAAATACTGACCCTGTAATTAACCTGACACAAAAATTATAATTCAAAGTTATATCACCACTACTTCTTACATAAAAGCCAGAAAGAGAAGAGAAACCTAATGAACTGTTGAGCTAAAGACGGTGCCGACTACAGAAACAGTCCTTGTTAATCTCCTCTGAGAGGGAGGGGCATATCGCAAGGTTTTGTTTCTGTTGTTGGCCCAATTTGCTTGCTAGCTGTGTGTGAGGCACAAAGGGGAATTCAGTGGAACCTGAAAAAAGAGGAGGGGGGGAAAGCTGTGTTTTTTGCATCTTAACAGTTGTCACCTGGATATGGAGCTCTCAGAGGTCAGGTCTTTAGGAGATCGCATTGTGTGGAAGTTTCTCTTCGGTTGTGACACTAAATGGTAGAGAAGTACACAAAAGCGCAAAGACCCATCATTCACTCAGCATCAGAGGTTCTGTTTCTTTGATGTTCCTTGTGTGGTTAGAGCAGAACTTTATGCTTGAAATTGATGATTATAAATTAAAGAAGAGGAAACTTACTGGAGACCTGATGAACCTTCTTCACCATTGAATTTTCATTTTGGGAACCTTCTTTAGGTCCTCCGATCCTAAAGAACCACAAAAAAAACAAAAAACATTCAGTTTTCATTTGACTCTTTACAAACACATAGTTTTGATCAACTCAGACATTGGGTTCTGACGCTACCTCTGGACACGAGAGGGTGGAGCAAACACTCCATATTTGGGCAGGCAGCTGAAATATCTGACCCCAAACACGGAGCCATCGTGTTTCCCAGTGGGCTGATCCAGCTCTACACCAAACCAGTACCCTGCAACAACACCAGGAGACCAGTTCACATTGGCCCAACAGTCTGGGGCTAAAAGGTCACCTCCCTTCCACACGATCTGCTGGTGATAATAATTTGAGCTAGACCTCAAGTTTGACAGGAACACTTTTCAAAGAGTCAGTTTGACATGCAGCGTACAGAACCAACAGCACAGATCGGGTCAGATGGTCTAGTTATCCAGCCGAAACCTGTCGGCAGCTTCATTAAACATAGGGCTGGGCGATAATTCAACAACGATATATTTCGATCGATAGACGTGTGGCGCAATAGAAAAAAA